CGAATAAGCACAGTAAGCGGCCTGCCTTCGCTGCTGCAAAAGAGTCAAACGAAACTGGTGTTGATGAGGACGAGGATGACGCGTCAGTAACGGTATGTTTTTTTTGACTATAATCATCGCGTTCATCTTTTATACCTTGATCTTATTTTGATTTAGGTAGTGTTCAGTTTCCAGGGAGAAGTTATTGCTCCTTGGAAATTTTTGCGCTGTTTTTTTTTCGCCGTTCGCAGTCAACGACAAATCTCATAGGAAATGTAGTTTCTTCACAGTCTTCATATTAGCAACAGTCAGGATTCCTTCCTTTTTCCAATGTCTGCAGGTAAAATGTTATTGGCCTCCTGTGAAGACCAGCCGACAAACAGGCAAGGCTTTGTATTTAGAAATTACCTATACGCAAATCAGTAGCAGCAGGGCGAAGGAGGGAACCTTAATATAGCATCCTTGAATGCACGATTTTCTCGCCCCTGGTACCCGAAGTCTGGCAGCACAAAGTCTTCACTATGTATGTGTATGTTTGCTGCCTGTCCAGACCCCTGGTTTTGGACCTTTCGATCTCCTACTAGACACCGTGTGCTGCTCGACCCCTTCTCAGGGGGACCTGCTGGTAATTTAATAGGCCGTTAGTCACTTTGTGCCCAGTTACAGGCGGCATTAATCCCAGCCTGTTCTCAGCCTTTGACCCTGGCTAGACGGCGCCATGCTCATCGCACTTGTCAAGCAAACTCTTCGATTAGCCAGGTAAGCCATGCGAAAATAGCTGATTTCTCGAACACCGGTCTCCGTTAGCTGAGAGGAGCCAGTAATTTTGTGATACCCGAAAGGCGACTGAAAGAGTTGAGACTGCCTACTCAAGGTCTGTTCGCCTCAAAAAAAGATAACCATAATTATGCCTGGCATTCTGTGGTAAGCCAGACCTGCATTATGCTAAGAAAAGCCACCGTGAAGGAAGGAGGATTTTGCGAAAGAAAATTTCATTTGATCGAGGCTAACCAATGTCTTCGCTTCAGTGAAGTAACCGCGTTTTTTTTACTCAAATGCATGTATAAAAAATTTTAGCCATCGTTTATCGGTGTCACTATCCCGTCTCCAACGCGGTCCCTAGCCTCCCCAACTGTTACTCCTTGTGACGCTCCTAAGTTAAGTTACGCGCATGTTCAGTTATGGCGATATGAGTTGCTGTAGATCCTTTATGGTTGAAAGTCCAATATCTACTGGGTTTTGTAAAAAAATGCGTATATTCATCCAGCATAATAAATCATACGTTGCCCAGCTGCCTAGATTCGAACCACCCACTCCACCTCTCAGATAATACCCTCTGGCCACTGGGGTAACGGCTGCAGACACCCGGTGATTAACGTATTCCTCTACAACCACGGAGATAGTTAAATTACTCTTTCCGAACCGAACTTACGTAGATGCCTGGTTTGTTTTGTTTTTTCTCACTCCTTGAGGGTTAATAGGAATATGTTTTTACCTCGTTAACGAAAGTTTACCGATGGCCAACAAAACTCCCTCGTTCCACTCTACCTTGGGTCTCATTCCCGGGCTCTGGCAACATTCGTACAGTGGCCAGTAGTCTAGACAGATAGTGTTGGCGGCAAAGACAAGGAAGCCTGGAATGGCCACTTCTAACCGCGGGTGGGGCACCACTTGGGGTTGGGTATGACTGGCTGACGACGGCTAATTAGCCAGAAATGGCC